GAGGAGGGGGACTGAAACATCTACCTCAGGCTACTAGAAGGTATCCAATCCAGAGTCACGGAGCCCTGAAGTTGCAAGAGACCATCTCCAACCCCTGCCCCATTTGCATCTAAGGAAATTGAAGTCCAGAAAAGGGGGTGAACTGCTCCAAGTCACCTGGCTGTATAGTGCTAGAGCCACAAGCATAACGAAGGCTTTTACATTCACACCTGGAGAACACTTCTCTATACCCACAATGCAAGAATCCAGGCCTCTCAGCACTTCCTATACTTTAAAATACAGAACGAAGAAGAGTGTTGGCTGAGGCTGTGGGCCCAAGCACCCACGTTGATTCCAGCTCGGGACACTAGGGAGCAGTTTTTGATGCTATAGTGACTTGCATGAACAACCACGTGTTTTCTCTCTGGAAGATATGACCTCAGACCCAAGAAGTAAAGAAGTAGAGAAGGCCCACAGGCTGCCTGAGAGTGGCCCGAAGTTGCACTCCGACCACATGGCACTCGGAGGAGGAGATGCTCCAGGGGCAGACGCCGAGACACAGGGCAGGGCCTGCGGGTGGCCTCCAGTCACACCTGCTGTTGTTCAGGGGCATGCCCCAGGGTGAAGAGGACTTAAGCGCATGTCCCTGGCTCTGCCTCGCCACGGCCCACCGTCCCCTCTCTCGGCCACCCCTCTGTCCTGGCTGTGAGTCCCACCACGTACTGGCAACTCCACACCCGGGCCCCAGGCTTGTGTGCCCTCCCTGAGGCCTGAGGGACACGCCTAAACCCTGCTCTCACTTTGCCCCTTGAAACAGGCTCCGCCTGCGACCCCACCCTGCACACCAGCTCCACAGCCTTGCCGGGTGCCCAGTCTGTCAGGAAATGCTGCCGCTCCACTTCCAGAATACACGGAGGGTCCGCCGTTCTCACCACTTCTGATGCTGCCACTTTCTTCTAAGCCACCATTGTCCCCTGCATTGCTGTGTCTGCCTTCTACATGGTCTCCTGGCTTCCACCCTTGGCTCCTGTCGACAGCTGGGTGGGCCTTCAAACCCACATGGCCCCTCTGCTCAAAGCCACAAAGGCAACCCCACCTCGCTCTGCACTTGTGGCCTCTCGAACACCGTCCCCTCTCCTTCCCCTGCTCAGTCTGCACCGGCCACACCGGTGGCTCCTCTGCCCTGGAACTCTCCTCCCAGTGTCCTCACGGTAACTTCTCAATTCCTTCCTGGCTTCACTTTGTTCAAATGTTGCCTCCTCAAGCAAGCCCATCCTATTTAAAATAGCACCTGCCTCTACCACCCCAGCACCTCCGGTCCCCTTGCCCAGCACTACTTTCTTTTCTAGAGCTGTCACCGCCTTCTTGTATGGTCCCTTTGTCTTCTGTACTTACTGCCCTACTCAGTGTATGTTCACTCTGCTCCAGAATGCAATCCCATGAGGGCAGGGCTTTTGTCTTGCCCCAAGATGTATCACAGATGTTTGAAACAGTGGCTGGCACAGATGGCGAGGCTATAAATACAGTGGGATTCCTGGGATTGTGGGAAATCTGTTTCCTGAGGGGGGGCACCCACGCCTGGCACAGGCAAGGAGGAGCAGGGATGAGTTTAAATGTGGGGCACATTTGGGGGGGGTTAGGACGAACAGGGCACTTGGTGAGGGGACTGAGAATTGATTCCTGTAGGTTTAAAGTGTCAGAGATGATGGGTTACAGGTGAGAAACCTCACGAGGCTAGAAGTGTGGACTCCTAAATAGACCGTATGTCTGGGAGTGTCTTGTGATGACAACAGGACTGGAAAACTCTGGGGAGGCCTGGAGGTGGAAGTTCCTGCCTCTGAGAACAAGCATTATTGCTCATTCAATTTGTCGTCCATGATCCTGGCCACTCCAGGAGTGCAGGGTTAGGCCAGAACCGTGCTTCTGGAACAGGCCTACTGAGGCTGCAGAGTCATGGGCAGTGGTCAGTAGGCTTGGGCTTGCTTTGATCAGGTTGTACCTGTCATGGCCCCTAACAGTGTCTGTGGGTTGTGAACGACAGACTAATGAAATGGTCTTGGTTAGAGACTAGGCCCTCCAAGTTATCCCAGCAGGGTTTTGAAAAGGATGTCATTACTTGAGTGCCACAGCCTCTGCATGCCACAGTACTCACAGCTTACCCTGAGTTTTAAATAGATACTCTCATTTGAGCTTCAGCACACATCACCATAATGTTGTCTTCCTTGACAGATGAAAGACGAAGTCTCAGGGCGTTTTGGTTAACACTTGGACAGGAAGACCAGCAAGTCTCAACAATTTGCCAGTGTTCTGACTTCAAGTCCAGAACTTCCTCTTCCAAACTGCCTTCCAGCCTAGGGTGATGTTACATTTGCTCTTTTTTGTTCAGAAGCCACTAGTTAAGTGGGAGAGGGGAGAAAGCAGTCCAGAAGTAAGTGTAGGGTCCCTGGCCACCTCCTCTTGCTCTCAGTCACATGCACTGAGGCCATTCAGTGGGACTGCAGACCCAGCTCCTCAGGTGGAAGAGTACAGAGTGTCTGGCAAGGGATGAGGGGAGGGTGGGAGGAGAGAAGTGCATCAGAGCCCAAGGGTGGGCTGGTAAATAATTTATTTAGAAAGTGAAAAAAACAAAAACCCAAAAAACCTGTGGCTATTTAAAATAAAAATCACAGGAAGTAAGGCTTGAATAAATCCTGGCCAGTGGGAGCAGACCAGATGGGAACGCATGTGTGTATGTTTATGAGAGGGCGTGGTGGGTTACAGAGATCGAGGACCTCTGGCCTAGGGAGAAGTGAACGAGCCTGAATCCAGCTGTGCGGATGGAGAGACACTATCTCTCCACCATCGCTGTTAGTATTAGCATGTGGGGAGGAGAATCCTCGCCTGTCAACTTCACAGAGTAGGGGAGAGTTAAACGAGGTAGTGCAAACGTGGGCTGTCTGGAGAATGCCATCATACGAATGTGGGGTCTGCTTGATGATCTCAGCTCCTTTCTTCTCCTCCCTCCCTCCCCCCCCAACACAGCTACATTTTCTGTAGAAATTTTATGTCCTAGAAAAAAAATTGTTTTGCTTTTTCTTTGAAAAATGTGAACAGTTTGGGAAAGTATGGCAGGTAGAGTGATATGGACCTTGCCAACAGTGAAAAGAACCCAAAGCATCCTCTGGGACTGCAGTGGGACCTCTGCATCCCAGGGCAACTAGCTGTCACTTTCCTGTACCTTCCTGCCGTAGGGCTCTGAGTGTCTCTTCATGGGTTTTCACAGGGTCTGCACTGCTGTCTGTAAGAGGAAGCCCTCTTAAGGCATAGCCTATGGCTGTCATCTCTTTCCTGTTTGTTTCCCCACAGATCCCCAGTGCAGAGCACTGCACGGTCCAGGCTGTGCACAGAGCTGTGACCTTTACATACATGGGCTTAGAGCTTATCCAGCCTGTTAAACTGGGAATACATTCAGGAAGGGGGAGGCACTGAGGGGAGGGGGCTCAGAGCATGAACAGGAAGACTGGCTTTTTGGAATGATCTGAAGATTTACTGTACGAAGTTAAGGGAGAGTGTATACACATACACACACACACACACACCACGAGACAAAGACAACCCACTGTTCTTGGAGACAGAGGGGCAGAAGGGCAATGGAATCTGGAGCTATTGGGTGAGCAGGGAGGGGCAAGAGGCTATTGGAGGGGACACATGGAAAGCATAACAGCCTCCTCCCAAAGCCCACCTGCTGGGAGAGAAGCAGAGGGGCTTCCAATCCAGTGGGATCAGGCAGGTAAGATGACTTGTCAGTTCATCTGAGTGGGGAAGGGGAGGGGGGATGCACGGGAGGCGGGGGAGTTTGGGAGGTTGTTTCAAATATCTTAGATCAAAACTCTAAAGCGTCTGCTCCGTGCTGTTATTCAATGGTTCAGTGCATCAAAGGTTTATGCAAACATTACCAAGTCTCTTAATTAAGGAAAAATGATGAAAAATTAAACAACACATGTTAAAGACTAACCGCAAGAAGCTTTGCCTACAGATAAAGAGAGAAGATTTAAACATGCCAGGTAACAAAAAGACATGTGCAGAAACTGGTAGGAACTGTATAGGAGGAGGCAACTCAGGTGGGCGGAGAAGGCAGCTGAGCCCTTGTGGGGCTGGGGCTCTGCTGGGGGCCAGGGAGCCAGGGGAGGGCTAGCAGGGGTTGGGGAACAGGCTGGGGTGGGCGGAGGCCAGGCAGGTGCATGAGTCAATCCCCTGTGGTGGTTCCTGTGTGAGAGTGAGGTGCTCACATGGAGTCTGCTTCCACAGCAACTGGGGGAAAAGCCCCTCAGAAGAGCTCTTGGTAGTTCACCCAACCACCTGGTTCTTTAGCTTCTCCAGAGAGGAGGGCACAAACAAGAGTCTGAGCATGATGGTTCCCCTCTTCTCTCTCACATGAGCTTGCAGGGGCCAGGCTGCCTGCACGGGCTGCTGATGTGGAATTGAAATAGAGCCCCTTCACCATGAAGATAGTGAGGTGGTCTGGGGCCAGGGTGGGCTATGCTGACAATGCAGGTAGAGGCCTAGCCTCAGCTGCGAGCATGCCACTTTGAGAGAGCTCCTCTCCAAGATGCAAGAGGGGAGAGGCAGCGACCTGGAGGTGAAGGTGGGGGTTTAAGGAGGATTGGGTCCCTGTCCCAGCAGCTGCCCAGAAGTTGTAAACATCCTCTTGTCCTCACTCCATGATCCCCATAGCTGCATCCTCCCATACAGTGTGAGTCATGCCAGGCTGATTATACAGGGAGAGAGGAAAAAATGCAGCAATCAACACTTAAAAGGAGAAGGGAAGTCCTAATGCGTTCCAAAAGTTAAAAAAAAAAAAAATTAAAATATTTCAAAATAAAGCAACAAGAAAAAAATCCTTTAAACCAATTTAAACAAACAAAAACAAAATAAAAATAAGGTGGGGAGGAGGAAATAAAATGAAGGAAAAAAATAAACTGGGAGGATAGATGAGTGTTAGAGCAGGCACAGACAGTTAGGGACAGACGCCATGTACTTACGTTTACCTCGGTGATTGCTATATCAACAATGCTACCCACAACAATCAAGGCGTCAAATGTATTCCATGCATCACAGAAATAGTGCTGCATGGGGCAGAGGAGCCGAGGAAAAGAGAGAGAGAAGAGGGAGGAAAAAAAACCAATAACAAAGGAGAAAACAAAACAAAAGGGAAGAGGAAAAATGAAAAAAAAAAAAAAAGCATGAAAAGGAGGGAGAGAAGAGAAAAAAATGAGAAAAGAAAGAGGTTACGTGGGCGTATTAAATACTCTCTTACCACTACAGTTCTGGCGGCTCAAACCTGGGTACCCTGGTTTTCGCAAGGTGGAGAGGCCTGGCAAAAGCTGGGTTAGTTCAAAGGTTACGCCGGGTGTGGCCGCCGGGTGCGGCCGCCGGGGAGGGGCCGGGCAGTGCCTTCCAGCGCGCTGCCTGCTCCCTCCGGTCGGCTCCTGCTCTCGGGTCCAGCACAGCTGGGCAGAGCTGGGACCAGCGGAAAAAAAGGAGGAGAAGCTCCCACTTTTTTTCCCCACAGGACGACGGCAGGTTCAATAAAAAGCATGACTGGAGGCGGGTAAAAACAGGAAATTAAAAATAAAAATAAAAGGAGGCAAAGAGAGAGTGTGAGAGAGAGAGAAACAGAGGAGGCAGAGGAGGAAGGAGGGAGGTTTCCTGGGGAGGGCAGAGTAATACTCACATTAGTTTCACTGAGAATGACGTCAATTATGCTGCCAATTACGATGAGGAAGTCAAAAACATTCCAGGGATCACTAAAGTAACCCTACATAAGGGAGGGGCAGGCAGGACGGGGATTAAAAAGGAATGTTAGACAGACAAGAACAGAGCAACACCACCACCAGAATCACTGTCCAGGCTCCTCAGTGCTGCTGCCGGAGTTGCGAACACCCTCACTGTGGCCAGGAGCCCCGAAGGGAAGGGAGCGCAGGGAGGCGGATAGCCCAACCTCCTGTCCACCCTCCCTTGGCCACACGGCCCCCATCCTGCAGATCCTCCCTGCCTCCCCTTTTCACAGAGGCCCTTTCCACTTCCCACTGGGGGCAGGAGTGGGTGGGGACAGTGCAGGGCAAGTGGCAGTGGGCTGGGACCCAGGAGTATGGGTCCACATCCAGCACCCCTGCACCCCTGGTTCTCTTCCATCAGGAGGGCCTGCCTGGAGGGAGGGAACACAGGTGTGTGGCCCCTTAGAGGTGAATGGGCGGTGGTCCCATGGTGAAGCTGGGAATAAAGAAGGCCCTGGACACCACAGCAATCAGTGTGGCCTGAAGGGTGGTTACCTGAGCTCAGAGGTGACTCATGGAAAGCTCAGAAATAAAAAAGAATCGAATCACTGAAACAATACCTATAACAAGCTGGACTCTGTGCGGAGTGAATCAGGGTAACCCTTGTTCCTACATGCCCAAATGTTTCTAGGGATGGTTCTGCCCTGGCAAAGGCTGTGCTAGTGGAGAGGAGACAATCGAGGTCGGTCTCACAGTCTGGTAGTGTCTTACGTGGCTCCAGATGGTGCTTTCTGGGATGTCTCCTAAGCACCTCCCCAGGTTCCTTCCCCAACATTGTCATTCTGACGCAGGGTCCTACTGAAATTCAAATGCCACCCAAAGTGAGAGAAGTTATGGAAGCCCTTCCTGAGAGCAGGTTTGGTAGGGCAGGCTGGGTAGCCAGTGTGGGGACACTGCCTTCTTGGAAAGGGAAAAGGCAGCGGTGCCACGGAGGAGAGATGCTGGCATAGGAGGGGAAGACCAGGGTCCTGACTTCACCACTTTGTCCTGTAGATGTAGATTTTATGTGTTTGACACCATATCTGGAGAAGAGATGAGCATTCTTGAAAGACTTTTCTTTGAGGTACTTGGACAATTGGTCAACCAAGAAATAGACTGTCGCAGAGCACTAAAGGATCTCAAAGTCCTGGGTGGGTGAATTCTTTACAAAGAGCAGATGGGTTGCTTGGGTCTGGACCATTGCCTTCTGGGAGGTGTGGGATCTGACAGAGCAATGTTCTGTGAGCACATGGGGTATATACAGTTTAGGAAACCCCAGGAACAGGGCAGTTACATTGCCCATGGGTGGAGTGGAAAGGACCTAGCAGTAAAGAGATTTGTCTTCCTTAAGAAAGAACATTTGCTCCTTTAGTTCTTTAACGAATATTCTGCAAAGCAGACAAGACAGGGCTGGCTGCATTTGTTCAGTAGGACCAGCATTTTCCTGTTCCCTGAGCTATCAGGAGATGGGCTTCTAGAGGCTGGTGAGTGTGAACACGGAGGCCCTCGAGGGCTCCCCAGGCCTCTCTCCCTAGCTCTCTGAAGGCTGCCAACTCGCCTTTTAATTTTTTACTCACAAGAGCCACGAATCTGTGTTCTTCCGTTTCCTCCTGGCTCTATTTGGCTAACTCCCTTAACTTCCCACTTCCCCAGCCATGCCCTCTTTCCAAGGGACCTCAAGACATGCTGTCCCAGGGCTGTTATTCTTAGTGTGGGAGGTCAGGCCATGGGGAAGGGTCTCTTGGTTCCCAGGCATTTCTGCCAGAAGAAAACAGAAACGCCACTGCGGAGACTTTGGACAGCCAGACTTGGGAAGCAGAGGTTGGCCAGGGTGCGGGTTAGGTGAGGGTCAGCTTGAGATTGTGGTGTTCTTGTTGGCTTCCCAGGGTGTTTTCCTAAATATACCAGAGCCTTTGAGGCAGAGAAACTTCTCTCCCCGACTTAAGTCACATGCTATGAGCAGGAGACAACCAATTCCCTCTCAAAGTCTCAGTATCATTCACAGGCAAAAAGAGAGCGCTGGTTTTCGGGGGAGGGGGTAAAGCATGAAGACCCCAAATGAACAGTAAATATGCGTGATTCTAAAAATTAGATATTGGAAAACGCTGGGGGACTGTCTCTAGATACAAATACCATCTTTGTGGTGAAGCAATTTCAGAAGGGAGGGGGTCAAGGAAAAGGGAGAGGAACAGGAGCAAGAGCAGATCCAGGAAGGCTCAGCATCGGCCTAGAAAACGTGGCAACAGAACATTATTTGGGTATGAGGGTGGGAGGAAAGGCAGGAAGGTGAAGTCCCAGTGCTCGAGAAATGAGGGTGAGTTGGAGTCTTTTCACCCACCAGAGAGACCTGAAACAAAGTGGGCGAGCTGGCCTTGGTCTGCAACACCTCTGAGGGACGAGAAAGGGGAAGGAGGAAAGGCAGAGAGCAGAGCAGGGCTACGCGCTGAAAACCAGATAAACACGCAGGTTAATCAGCTGTCACACCCGGGGAAGGGCTGCTACCGAAACGGACCCTGTCAGCTTCCTGCTTGTGTGTCCCTGGTCACCCCCCTCTTGGACTTCTTTGTACATGTGCAGATGCCAGGAGGGCAAGAGACAGGTGGCTCCCCCTTGCCACAGCCGGCGCCTGTGTGAGGCTTCTGCTGGATTAGGATTGCTGGGCGCTGTTGGGATTAGTGCCTCACCTGTACCTGTGCCCACCTAAGGCTGAGCCACTGGGGCTTTACCTGCCCTCTTCGTCCTGTGGCAAACTACCTGGTGGGCCTCCACTGGCTGCAGAAACCAACCAGTTCCCTTGTTGTCAAGGGCTCATGTGGACCCAGCCCCGAGGGCTAGAATGCAGGGGGGTGAGGGAGCATGTCTGGAGCTGACAGGGTCCCTTTAAGAGGCAGCTTTCACCCTGGCCCATGCACCCACCTTCCCGGCCCTCTGTCCCATGAGCCCAACAGTCCACTGAGCCGGACCATGAAGATGGTTCCAGACGCAGCCTTCAGGTCTCCTTTCCCTTTGTCAGCCTCCTTCTCCCAGAGTGGAGCCCCTCCAACAGCCCCTTCCTCCCACCCGTTCCACACCCATTCCCAGAAACAAAGCCCATATCCTCTTCTATGCTGGGCAACACGTTGTCCGAGGCCATATTCCCCACACCTGGCCACACTCCTCAGTGGGAAGGACCTGGGAGGAATATTTCTTGCCGTTTTTTCGCGCTCTCTCTCTCTCTGTCACACATGCACCTGTCCTTGTGCACCCCTCATTTGCTGGAAAACACTGGTAATAGAGGTTTTGAGGGTGTAATGGAGGAGGGAGGTTGGGAAATAATCATAGACTTTTTTCCTTATGAAATCAGTTTGGCCAGGAGCCAGGTTATACCCATCACTCCTTTCTCTGGTGACTGGGTCCCAAATGGTTGGGAGTCAGGGCTGGGGAAGGAATTTTCCAGACCCTCCTTGAAGTGGTGAACCAAACCTCTTGATGCCCAACTCCTCAGAGCCACGCAGGGAGGTCACCTGAAGGGACGGAGCCTTCCCTTGGTGTCCCCAATTGCTACAGATTAAGCGGATTTTCCCTTTCAAATCCCCAGCCTTTGGGGTGAGTGCAAAGATGGGCCTCTCCTCTGGCCATCCCAGGGAAGGTGTCATGTGCAGCCACCTGGGCAGAGGAGCAGCCACAGCCAGCTGATCTGTATGTGGCTGCTTGTACCCCAGGCCAGAACCCCTTCTCCTGATGGCTGCATAGCCTCCACTCCCTGACTGGCATGGGCTGAGAAAATGTAGACCAGATTGATATTAGCTTCAGCAAACCATTATTAGAAAGGAAAAATTTTGCAATGGCATCATGTGATGCATTTTACATGCACAAGAATTTTCGATTTTCTTCTTTGGATTATCTGTGCCCTGATTCAGCTCCATCATTGCAGATATACCAAGTTGAGAGAGGCAGGGTAGTGGTTAAGAGCGTGATCTCTGGAGGTGGACTGCCTGGGTTCATATCCTACCTCTGCCATGTAATAGCTGGATAACCTTGGGTGAATAATGTAACCTCTCTGTGGCTCAGTTTCCAACCACAGGGCTAAGGTGAGGATTAACCGGGACTATACAAGCAAAGCACCTAGACCTGTGCCTGGTTTGTAGTAAGCTCTACATATGAGCTGTGGTCATTGTCAGCTAGAGCTGATCTGCCTCCCTTCTACTTATGCAGGACTCACAGGTTCAGTTTTAGGCGCAGGACTGAGCAGAGGGGATGCAAAGCCTAGGTGTGTGGACGGCGGGGGGAGGAAGTTGACGGCCTTTTCTGCTCTCCTCCGGTCACCAGCA